GGAGTCTTGTGTGTATGACAATCCTCAGGTAATGAGCCTCAAACCGTCAGATGTTGAGAGCCAGCAAGACCCTAGTTTGTCCAGGATAGATCCAGATATAACACGTGCGTTAGAAAACGGAGATCAGTTACAGCCTGAGGATCAGTCAGTTTTACACACTCAAAATTTTCAGACACATCCCGTTCTGTACACTCCTGCTGCGACAGATTTCGAGTCTACTTCGGAGAGGGAGCTCGAGCAGTGCCAACAAGATGGATTGGATGACTGTTTTCAAGTAAATGCAAATCTCACAGATTCTCTCAGGACTTTGAGCGAATCCCCAAACTGCGGTGCTAATTCTGAAGTGGACATCGAGTCTTCAATTCTAGTGGCTGACTCGTGGATAGCACCACACGGGTCTGCTCAGTACCTGGAACTCGTGCCTGCTTTCAAATCTCAGGGCTCTCTTGAACAGGAATCCTGCAGATCCATGGCTCAGGAGGACGTCTTCACACGACAGCCAACAGCGCTGAGAAGACCGGAGTCCAGTGAAGTCGCGGGGAATTTGAACAGTCTCGAAGAATGCAGAACTGTGGCTCAACCCGCACAGAATTACCTGCAGACATACGACGAGCCTGTGTTAGAATCGGGAAATGTTTCAGTGGATCCGTTGCGAAATGATGGCGAAGAGCAATCCATTCAAGATTTACATGCAAATGCGGCTTCCAGCTGTCATCAGCTACCGGAGACTGCCTCCGTAACATCGGCTACTTCGACGAAAACGCCGTCGACAGACATCCCGCAGACTGCCCCGGCTATGGAGATAGTTCACGAGGCAGTTCATGAGGCGGAGGACTTTCCTCAGGAAGACAACTACCCAAATATCACCAGGGAAGAACCATCGAACTATTACCAAGATTACCCCGCTAAACCCAGCGAATCAGACGTTTGTGAGAATGAAATCTTGCCCGACTATTCGGCTTATCCCCTGCCGTACCTGCATAAGAAGTTCCACCACGATCAGGAGCGTAAAGTTGCCCAGTCTTCGGGCGGCGGGCAAAATGCCGATCTGCGTCGTTATATCCACAACTTCCAGTCTCTCCTGGTTAGTAGGCTGAACGCTTCCTTCAGTACGGATGTCGTGCTGAAGACTGGAGGTGAAGACTTGGGTTCGGATGAAGGAGAAACGGAGGACCAGCCAACTGAGGATGTAGAGCCTGCGGGATCACAAAGGCTGCAGCAAAGTGAGCATGTGTGTGAAGTGTGCAAGCTTGAGTGTACAGATGAGGCGCAACTGAACATGCACTATCGAACCCATGAACAAGGAGATCAGAAGAACTTTGCGTGTCGGTTTTGTAAAAATTCTTTCTTCATGAAAAGTACAAGGGACCGCCATGAGAGAAAACACAAAGGCAAGAAGATCTACAGGTGCTCTCAATGCCAGCAAGTGTTCAACAAAGCCTACATATTAACCCGACATAGAAGAGAGGTTCATGCAGTCAAGAGGCCCTTCAAGTGTGACGAATGCGACAAGGACTTCACCACCTCCCGGAACCTCCAGAACCACGTCGGGGTCCACCGGGCAGAAAAGAACCACAAATGCACTCATTGCGAGCACACTTGTCGCACGGCCAGCGGTCTGCGAACTCACGTCATGGAAGCTCACATGGCCTCAAGAGATCGAAGCTTCAGTTGCCAAGAGTGTGGGGAAAAGTTCTCCAAACATTACGGGCTGAAGAGACACATGGAACGCAAGCACGGGGACGGAAGAGTGCCCTGCAGTGTTTGTTCAAGATTATTTTCTTGCAAGGAGGACCTGATCAAACACTCGAAATCCCACGAGGACAAAAGCAAAGACGATTTATCCTGCAGCTTTTGCAATCAAACCTTCACCTCCACTTGGTCCTTGCAAAGACACACCAAGAAGCACCAGTCGGAAAGTCGCCAGTTCAAGTGCAGCAAATGCCCCAAATCCTTCACAAGAAAGGATTCACTCTTATCTCACGAGAAGCTACACACGCAGAAGAAAAATTACGTATGTAAATGTGGCAAAAGATTCGTGAAAAAGAGTCAACTGACGGCACATGAAGACAAACATAGCAATATTCCAAAGTATTCTTGTGATATATGCAAGCACTCCTACAAATTCAAAGTATCACTAAGAAACCATAGCTGCAAACCAAAACTTGCAACAGAGGATACGGGGAACGGTGATCAGGTAGATGGTTGTGCAAATTAGTTCTCAAGTTTGTTCGTTCCGGAACAAAAAAAATCAGAAATCCAATCTAAGGTCTAAAGTAAACTCGAATTGCAAGCTCGGATTCTATTAATCTATTTTTTATTTATTTATATCAAGTTTATACGTTCGATATAAACTATTGTATACTTCGAAACCAATGTTTATTCAATACTAAAGAATTCCCACACCAAAGGTACAACTCATATCTGCCGTCGTGTGTAAGATGCAGTTGTTAATCAGATTTTATATTTGAGATTTATTGAAATATATATTTTTGCTACT